ACGACGACCACCATTGCCTAGTCCTCGACAAGGTAATCATGGTCGTGGTCATCATCATCATGATCGTGGTCGCCATCATCATAATCATGATCATGGACCACCGGGACATCAAAAACAACAACATGAAAATATACCAATCTGTATTCCCGAAGTTATTTATATTATTGTTCCTTGTAATAATCAAACAAACGATAATAATCGAATGATAACTTCAACAACAACAGCAACATCTTCGTTTGATACTTCGACTATTTCAACCCCAACAACAACAACAACAACAACTGTACAACCTTGATTTTGTAATCATTTTCGAAAAATTGAAAAAAGCCACTTGAATTTTGGATTGATTTACATAACTTTTGATTGACAATTATGTCATTTATAACAGACACACAAATACAAAAAAAAACAAAACAAAACATATGGATTCTAATCCATATTTTACTGCTATAAAAGTATCGATTTTTTTGGCATTTTTGATTTTAAAATTCTTTCATTCAGTTTAATTCAACTTAACAATTTCACTAACCAATCAATCAAGCATGCATTCTCGTTCGATTTTCCTTCTATTAACCTGTTTAATCATTATTATTAAACTATGTTGGATTATTCCATTGATTGATGCATCATCGGATGGTCGTTATAATAGTAATTTTTTTTTTTGCTTTTGTATCCCCGGTTTTTTAATATATAGATTATACTGATTTAACACTTAGGACACCAACATCATCATCATCGAAGGTATGATTATCATCAACAGAATGAACAAGGTGGCCAAGGACAACAAGGAGGTGAAGGACAAGAAGGTGAATATGGTAATAATCAATATCCACGACGTTATCATAATCATAATCATCATCATTGGAACAATCATAATGAAAATGAACAACGTTAAACAACAACAAAACAAAACAAAAAAAAATTTAACACTTTGACAACAAAATTGAATGCAATTCTTTATTTCCAAAAAAAATAAATGAAAAATAAAAATTAACCCCGGTTAAAAAAAGTTATCCCCAAAAGTTAAAATCATATCTTTTTTGTTTGTTTGTTTGTTTTTTCTTTCTTGATAAATTATCATTCGATGATTGCAATGCGAGCAAAATTTGATAATAAATGAAAATCTCCATTATTAAAAAAAAATGTTGTTACGAATTTTCAATCGTTTCCAAACAACAAACCAATTATTATTATTGGTTTCAAAACGAAAAATATCAATAAAAATCAATGATCAATCACTGATCAACAATGAACAACGAATTGATATTGCCATATTTGGTGGCGGTATTATTGGAACATCGATTGGTTATTTTATCAAAGATAATGCATCAATTAATTTAGGTGTTACGGTTTTTGAAAAAGATCCATGTGTAAGTAATGTAACCTGTGTGTGTTTGTGTTTCATTCATTATTAAGCTTTTTCAATGTAAAATCGCAGTACACACGAGCATCGACAACATTATCTGTTGGTGGTATACGACAACAATTTTCTTTGCCAGAAAATATTCAAATGTCATTATTTACAGCCAAATTTCTGCAAAATATTCAACAATTAAGTATTCTAGATCAACCAATACCTGATGTAGCATATCAACAAAAAGGTTATCTAACACTTGCCGATAGTCAACAGATGAAAATATTGAAAGAGAATTTTCTTGTTCAAAAAAAATTCGGCGCATCATTAGATTGGTTAAACAATGAACAATTAACCCAAAAATTCCCATGGATAAATTGTAATGGCATTGATGCAGGTGTATTTGGTACCAGAAATGAAGGATGGTTTGATCCATATCGTTTATTGATGGCCATTAAACATAAAGCAAAATTTTTAGGTGTTCAATTTGTTCATGCTAATGTTGTTGGATTTCATCATCAACGTGATGATCGAAAAAAATGTCAAAAAGTTATTGTACAATATCCGGATGGTAATCAAATACAAATTAAATTTGATATCGGCGTTGTTTGTACTGGTTATGATTCAAAACAATTAGCTAAATATCTTGGTTATGAACAAAGACAAATTAATCTGCCAATTGAACCACGTAAACGTTATGTTTTTGTTTTTGATTGTCGAAATTTCGATCAAAATCAATCATCAATTGATTGTGAAAATCATTTTCCATTTTTAATCGATAAATCAGGTGTTTATTGTCGTCGTGAAGGACGTAGTAATTTTATTTGTGGCCGTTCACCACCGACATTAGTTGAAGAACCTGAAATCGATAATCTTGATGTTGATTATTCATATTTTGATCAATTTATTCATCCAATACTGGCTGAACGTATACCATGTTTTGAAGCATTGAAAATAAAATCAGCATGGGCAGGATTTTATGATTATAATCATTTTGATCAGAATCCAATCATTGGTCGGGATCCATTTTATTCGAATATTTATTGGGCAGCTGGATTCAGTGGCCATGGTATACAAATGGGTCCGGCAATCGGTAATGCAATGATGGAATTAATATTAAACAATCGATTTGAAACAATCAATTTGGATCGATTTGGTTGGCCAAGAATTCTGGAAAATCGTCCATTAAAAGAACAAAATATTTATTGATGAAAATATGAAAATATTGACAATTTTGAAAAGACAAACATAACGATTTGAATAAAACTTACAACAAATAAAAAATATAACATTGATTATCAAATGAGTGATTAGATAAGCTATTTGTTTTTGTTTTCTCTTCCCACCAAAAAAACGATTTATGATTTATAAACAAAAATCGGTCAATTTCCAGGACATCACATCACATAATTTTCCATATAGTTCAATAGCCCTTTTGTTTTGTTTATTTAATTTCATTTCGTTAAAATCGTTCCTCGTTTAACATGATTCACGTCAATCAAATATAAAAAAAAAGTTGAATTGAACAAAACAAATCAATGTCCAACATGTACCCAAAATTCATCATTTTCATTACGATTCTTTTTTTGTCATCTATTATGACAACAAAAGGTCAAAATGTTAAAAAATTATTCGAATATCCAAATGTTCGACGTAATGAAACAATTCAGGATGAATTTTTTGGAATTAAAGTAATTTTTGGAAAATTTGAAATTTTGTTTTTACTTTTTTCTTGTTTATTTTTCGTTTATTACAGATTCATGATCCATATCGATGGTTGGAAAATACGACAAGTGATGAAACGAAAAAATTTATCCAAGAACAAAATTCCATAACATTTCCATATCTTCAATCATGTCAATATCGTGATAAAATTCGTAAAAAATTTAAACAATCACTTGAATATGATCGTATTGATGGTCCATTTAAACGTGGCCCGAATTATTTTTTACTAAAAAATCAAGGTTTACAAAATCATTATATTCTTTATAAAATGTTGAATGGACCAGATGATCCAGAAAATCTTGAAATATTTATCGATACAAATGAAATGAGTCCAAATGGATCAATATCATTAGCATTGACCAGTTTTTCGTATGATGGAAAATGGTGTGCATATGGTTTGGATGAATCTGGTTCCGATTGGAATATCATTCGAATACGTTCAGTTGAGAATAATACCGATTTGAATGAAACATTAACAAATATTAAATTTTCAACCGCATCATGGACTATTGATAATAAAGGATTTTTCTATTCGGTAATTATTGATTTGATTGATTGCTTTCCTTTCAACAAATTAAATTTCATATTCATTTCATATCCAAGCGATATCCAAATGAAAGTCGAATCGATGGTACTGAAACAACTGTAAATAAATTCAATAAACTTTATTATCATCGAATCGGTACGGATCAACAATATGATATTCTTGTCTATGAAACACCTGATCAACCATTGAATCGTTTGTATGAAAAATAATAATCTTTATTGATGAAAGAAAAGATTTCATTTTATTTTATTTTTCCCATTTAAATAGCTATGCAAAAGTTAGTGAATGTGGCCATTATTTGAATGTATTTATCAAACAAAACAGTGAATTTGAAGCATGGTATTATTATCGTTTTGATAATAATCAAACTAAAATTAATGGAAAATTATCATTTCAACCAATAATCTCGACATTTGATACAAATTTTCAATATATATCGAATGATGGTCCAATTCATTATATCCTCACTAATCGTAATGCATCAAATTATCGTCTAATTAAAGTAAATCTAACCAATTCATATAGTATTCAAGAATCACAATGGAAAGATTTAATTCCTGAACATAATGATGATGTTTTACGTTCAGTACGAATTATAAATGATACGTTTATAATTTGTCATTATATACATGATGTAAAAAGTCGATTAGAAATACGTAAACTAATCGATGGAACATTGATAAAAATGTTAAACATTCCATTAGGATCGATTGAATGGATTTCATGGCAACGAAAAAATGATAGCCAGGCATTTTTTTCGATAACATCATTTCTAATACCATCAACTATTTTTCGTATCAGATTTGATCGTGATCAAAATTTCGAACCAATTCTATATCAACAATCATGGCCAAAAAATTTCGATTCGAAAATATTTGTAACTAAACAAATTTTCTTTAAAAGTAAAGATGGCACTCAAATTCCATTGTTTATTGCACATAAAAAAGTAATTTTGAAAAAACATGGGTTTTTTATTATTTAATTAAATTTTTTGTATTTTTTTTTCTCAGGATATCATGATGAATGGTGAAAATCCAACATTACTGTATGGATATGGTGGATTTAATAGTGTAATGAAACCAAGATTCGATCCAAAACGATTATTATTGTTGGAAAATCTAAATGGTATTTATGCATTGGCCGGTATTCGTGGTGGTGGTGAATATGGAAAACGATGGCATCATTCGGGAAAATTATTAAACAAACAAAATAGTTTTGATGATTTTATCGCTGCTGCTGAATATTTAATCAAAAATAATTATACAAAATCAGAAAAGTAAGTCTGTTTTTTAAAATTCGAAATTTATTAAAATAAATAAAAAAATTTTTCAGATTAATCATTGAAGGTGGATCAAATGGTGGACTTTTAGTATCGGCTGTTTCAAATCAACGGCCAGATCTTTTTGGTTGTACAATATGTCGTGTTGGGTAATTAATATTGATGTTTTGGTGGTTACAAAATTATTAATACTTGTAATGATTTTGATCAGATTATTAGATATGTTACGTTTTCCAAAATTCACTATAGGACATGCATGGATTTCAGAATATGGTGATCCAGAATTGAATGAAATAAATTTTCGTTATTTATTTGGTTATTCACCATTACATAATATTCCATCCGAAATCAATAATAGGCTAACAAACTATCCAGCTACACTATTGCTTACAGGTTTTTTTTGCTAATTAAATAATTCAATGATGATGATGATCAATAACAAAAAAAAATTAATGAAACGTTTTTTTTCTCCAATCAATTCAAATAGCTGATCATGATGATCGAGTTGTTCCATTACATTCATATAAATATATTGCACAGCTACAATATCGTTTGGGTAATCGTTTTCCAAATAAACCATTCCTGATACGAATCGATACTGGTACCGGACATGGTGGTGCAAAACCAACGGATAAAATTGTAACAAAAAAAAGAAATTTTCCCATTCAAAACAAACATTAATTTTTTTTTGCCCAATTTTTCTTTCTTTCGATAAAAGATTGAAGATACGGTGGATGTTTATAGTTTCATTATCAATTCATTGTCGTTGAAATATTTGGATTAAATCCTGGATTGAAAAAATTTTTTTCCATGGAATTCGGTGATTGGAGAAGGACATCAACTAAGGAATTTTTCAAAAAAAAAATTAGAAATTTTTTTTAAATTAGAAAACAACTTACTATTGCATTGCACCTTGCATTTTTGGGTATTTCCAAAAAAACTTAATTCAAAATAAGTAAATAAATGTTTGATTTTGATTTTGATTTTCTTTCAAAATTAAATTTCTGCCATTATACGAAATGGAAAATTATTATTAAAATTAGCCAATAATGGTGATTCGATTGAACGAAAATCATCAATATCGATTGTATCGAAATCAAAATCACCATTTGTTTTTAATTTTAAATTCGGTAACGATATTGCACGATGTATTCTTGGTACTTGAATATTTTCCAATGAACCTGATATTGTATGAAATAATGGCCGTTGTTTACAATCAAATAATATACAACGTTGTATGAGTGATATGAATTTTTTCGGTACATCTTCACGTATTTGTTGAAGATTTGGTTTTAAAAAACCACGACCAACTAGATATAGTATTTGATCACGATTATTTAGATGATTATATGGTAACATTCCGGTTGCAACTTCAAACAAAACAATACCATATGCATAAACATCACTTTGAAATGAATGTGCTGCACCGCGAATAATTTCCGGTGCCATCCATAATATCGAACCGGTTGGTTGATTTGTTGGCTGTAAACCACCCCAATGTGATTTAACAGTAGCTAAACCAAAATCACCAATTTTAACAGTAAAATCTTTTGATAAAAATATATTATTTGATTTAAGATCACGATGAATAATTTTTTTAGCATGCAGATAATCCATTCCTTGTGCTGTTTGCCTAGCAATATCAAGTATTTGATTCATTTTGAAATTTGTTTCAATAACATGTAAATGTTTATATAATGATGATCCTTCACACCATTGTGTTACAATCATTAGCTGTGGTTTTGAAACATAACCCATAAATAGAATAATATTCACATGACGAGTTTTACGTAATACGGCCAATTCATTTTTAAATTCAAACAATTGTGCTTGTGTTGGTTCGGCAACTTTTAATTTTTTCACTGCAACAGGACCATGCCATAAACCACGAAATACTGTACCGAATGAACCGGAACCAATACATTCTTTAATCTGAATTTCAGATTCAGGAATTTCCCAATCTTTAATCGATTCACGATTTGATGCTGAATTTCGACGAATTTTTTTCAATGAACTAGCATCAGCTGAACGTGCTCTTGGTTCACGTACAGTTACTGTTGTACCGGTTGTTTGATCTTTTTCATTCGAATCAATTAATTTAACATCTTTAATTAAATTTATGGTTATATTTGGTTCAGATGATGATCGTTCTCGGGTATCCGAACTAACCGAATTTGAACGTTTAATATCCATACGCATACGATCAATATTACGACCATTACGTTGTAATAAATGTAATAGATATTGATTGGTTGGTTGACACATTGGTGATATATGTGATGAACAACGTGAATGAAATTTAATACCACAAGTTTGACAACGTAAACAGGTGAATAAAATTTTTTGACAATATTCACAATTGGTCCATTTAAAAAATGAACGTCGTATTTGATGTGTCATAATTCTTACTTCAATTTTTGAACAATTATTTAGATCGGCTACATCTGAATCCCATGCAATCGGTAAATTAGTATCACATGATGATACTGAACACATTGCAGCAGTTAATTGTCGTTTTTTCATTGCACGTGCTAATGCATCACGTACTGTTTGTCCATCTTGTATCGGTATTATTGTCCGTTGTTGATTCGGTAAATGGACATGTAATAATTGTTTATTTGGAAACATCTTTTTTTTCTTTAATAATAATATTCGATCAAATAATAACCAAATGAAGAATATTGTTGTCGTTTTTATCTGTTTCAATATTCGGAATCATTCATTTCGAAGAATAAAAACAAAACAAAATTACGGTTAATTACGCGGAAAATTGAAAAAAAAAATAACACAAAAGATGCTCGAAAATTCTGATGGCCATTTACATTTGCCGCTACTTTTATTCATATTCATTCCGAAAATTTCTATATATATCTTGGCCAAAGAAGTAAAACGGAGAAGAAAGAAAAAACCAAAAACAAGTTCGAGTTTACGAATCTAACTGCCAAAAAAAAAAATTGTTTGAGCAGCTGATTCTTCTTCTTCTTCTTCGTTAATAATTCTTCGATGATTGTTGTCCAGAAACTTTCTCGAAACTTTTATTTCGTAAAATTGTAATTTCTCGGTTTTTCCATGATTTTCATGATTTTTTTTTTGATCATTATAAACAGCGATCAAAACAAAAAGAAAAAACAGAACATTTCGAAATATTTGCCACCATAAATGTCTAAAGGGGATATGTTTGCTCTACATTTTTGTTCCAAAAAGAAAAAACATTGTGTGTGTGGCTCATTTAACAAAGGTGTTTTCTTGAGTTTTTCTACTTCACTTGATCTTTGCCTTCGAAACAAACAGGAGAAGGAAACAAGCCACCTTCAAACAACTATTTCAAGATGATAAAAACCAAATGCAAAAAATGATATTTTAAATTCAATTCTTTACAACAACAGCAAACAAAAATCGGATAAAGGTAATGAATTGAAAAAAAATTTAGAAAATTGATTGAATAATTTCTTTTTGTTTCTTTGCCCCCTTTTTAGTTTCATCAAAACGTAAGGAACAAAAAAAAAATCAAGATAAGAAATTGAGGAAAAGCCATTGAAAAGTTGTTACATCAATGATAATGATTTTGGAAGATTTCACAATGCTCAATCAACAACAACAACATAATTATTGCTGTATCTTTTTGTGGAAATTACACACGGTGATTTGAAATGTTGAGAATATTTTTTTTTCTATAGTTTTTTCTTCAAATACATAAATCCTTGACTGATTTTTTTTTCTGTTTTCATTTAAATTTTATCGAAAAAACAAAAAATCAAACATAAGAAGAAGTACAACATTGAGCAATTTGAAGTTTTTTTTATTATTTATTTTTATTTATTGATTTTGAAATTTGAAAATAATAAAATTACATTATAATAAGGCTAAGATTGATTGATTGATTGATTTGATTCGAACACCACCAAACAACAAACAACAAAAACAATTTAATACGATAAGATATGGGTTTGGAAAAATCAAAAATTAAAAAATACCGAAAAAAACTTTAAAAAAACACAAGTTTTGTTTTGTTTTTGGTTTTTTTTCAATACAAAATACATTGGTAAAAAAAAGAAAGAAAAATACAAACAGAGAAAGAGAATACCATAAAATTACCATTATCATTAAAAGTAATATTCATAGGAAATTGGTTATATGTGTGTGTGTTTGTTTGTTTGTTTTCTGTGTGTGTTTCGATTAGTTTTAAATATTTGAAAGCAATTCAATTCAATTCAATAATAATAATGGAAAAATTACAAATCAATTAAAACAATTATAATATTTAAAACGATCCAATGTATTTTTCAAACTAGTACGACCAGATACTAAACGTGTATGTTTATTTTCAATAATTGCCTTCATTAAAACATTTAAACAATTTTCAATATTTTGATTTCCTTCAATAATTGTTTCAAAATGTTCGGCTTTCCATGTTTTTGCCAATTGTTTTGCATCTTTTTTCTTTATTTTACGTAATTTTTTCTGTTCAATATTATTGCTTTTAATACCAACCAATATGATACGTGTTTGAGATCGTACAATCAATATTTGTTCACGCATTTTTTTTACCGTTGTTAAACTTTGTTCATCATTCACATCGAATACACAGATGAAACCGTTTGCACTACGATAAAAACTATCTCGTACGGCTGGCAATTCATCCGGTTCAACAATTTTAAATTCTACTTTTAATTGTTGTTGATTGATTGTCCATGATAGAAATCGATTTTCAGTAGATACATTTGAATCACGTTGTAAATTCATTAGTTTATTTTTAAATGATTCTTTATCCACATTTTTATCACCAACGATAATGATTTTTTGAACCGACATTTTCGTTTATATTTTTGTGGTTGCGGTTGTTGTTGTTGTCAGAATCAGACAAATATCAATCGCGTTGTTCAAGAGAAAAATTCTTCAAGATTTGTACGTTGAACAAAACAAAACAAAAAAATTCGTCGACCAGTTGAAACGTTTTCCAGAAAAAATTAAAAACTGAATTTTCAAAAAATCAAAGAGTTTTATAGTATTTCAAACAACCCAAAAAAAACTACAAAAAAAACTAGTTATTATCGATATCCATCAATCACAGTGCACAGAACAAACAAACAGAACAAACAAAAATCATCAAATGAACAAACAAACAAACTTTCACATATATCAATCGATAATCGAAGAATATTATCTATTTCAACCAAAAAAATAACAAAAACATGTTGATGATGACCAATGTGTTTATTAAAAAAGAAAATTTCAAGTTTTTTCCATTTTTGTTTTCTCAAAATAACAAAATTCTTTTAAAACGATAACAAACAAACAACAACAAAGATTATTGGTTTTTTTGTTGTTGTTGTTGTTGTTGTTTGTACTGAAACTTTTTTTTTTTTTGGAAACGATTCGGCTAAGCAATCAGTGTGTGTGTGTGTGTGGGGGGGATGTAATGATGATAGTAATGAAACAAACGAAGAGAAACTTTCTATAATCATCACATGACGATGATGATGATGTTCATAGAGAAAATGGAATAATTTAATGACGAAAAGTATCTCTTTTTTTCAACAAAATCAGTTTGTTTGAAATTTTTCCATAGAGACATATAGTGTAATCGATTTTTTTCAAATTACAAGTAAAAAAAAGAAAAGAAAATAACAAGTTTCTCTTGAGACCAAAAAATTTTATTGAATTTTCTTTTTCTTTGAATCACGTCATCTATTTCTCTGTTTTTGAAAATTGAATTTCTTCAGCTTGTCGTTGCCAACCTATATCTCGATGGCTCTCTCTTTGTTGAATGTTTCAATTTTTTTTTTCTGTGACAAGTTTCAACATCTCCGAAATGATGATGAAATAATGAATGTGGTGGAGAAAAAATGAAATGAAAATTCATGGAAAATATCCATAGTTGACTGGGGATGACTCACAGAAGTTTCGGAGAAGAAGAAGAAAAAGAAAAACTGAAAGGAAATGATGAGCTGAAGTAGGACAGGCGAAAAAGAAAATCCCTTATTGTCTTTTTCAAGATTTATTGATTTGTTATAATCCAAGAAAAGCAAAACAAAAGAATAATAAAAATTTGAAATTTTTTTACAAAGAAAAAAGCTGCTTTTCTTTTTAAAAAGTTTAATTTTTTTTTTTTAATTAATAAAATTCTGTTTTCAAAGAAGAAAAATCACCTTGTTTTTCTTTCTTTTCTAGTGAAAACAACAATAACTGGATGATTGCAACGAATATAGAAATCAAAAAATTGTCCAATGAATCAAAAAATGTCCATCGACATTATCATCATTGGAAAGAAATGATGCTTGGATAACCTTGTTTGAAAATTTTTTAATTATAGACAAAATTATAAACAGGAAAAAGAATGTAACGAACAAAAAATACTTTATAATGGACTTTTTCAACAGCAGCAGAAAATCTTCTCACTTTCCTCGAAAAGATTTTTTTTTGTTGTTGCCAAGGTTCCAACATAGCGACACAGCAATAATAATAATTTCATTACAGACGCACCATCACATTATGATTATTATTATAATAATAATCAATGACCGAAAAAATGAAAAAACAAAAGTTCAACTGGTGGTGTGATTCATATATATGAAATAATACAAGACGCAAGACAGAAGAAACACAGGAGAAAGCAACAACAAGCATCATCATCAACAATAACGAAGAAAGATTTTTTAAATGTCCTATTGACCCACATTGTAATATGTTTTTTTTTGAATAACAGTTTTTAGCATGTCGTTTTACATTTTTCTTTGCTTTCTGATCATTCATTCATTCATTTCAATCGACAATCGACAATCGACAATCATCGGATTGAGGAAAATCATCAAATAAAACTGGTTGAAACTTGTAAAACACAATATTATTACTTTGCTTTTCCTCCTCCTCAAACAAACAAAACAATAGTAATTTGAAAATATGAAAATTAAATTAAAAAATCCATCTTTTTCGTTGATGATTTATCTTTTTAATTTGCATACAATTATCCTGATTAACAAAAGAATGTCAAAAATTTTTTGATAAGATTTAATGATTTTATCAACTTTCAGTGATTTTTCACACATGTCATATATTCAAAACACAATAGCTATTCTTTCTTTTTCGTTATCAAAATGTAGGATTTTTTTGTTCTTCACATTTTATCTCAAAGATAATAAGATGGATGCATAGGAAAAATCTGTTATGAGTAAAATTATTCATAGCTAGTTTGTTTCAAATTCGTTGACCTTTGTTGTTTGGGGGAAAAAAATGATGAAATTTTTTTGTAATCTCTGTTATCTTTTTTTGTTTCTTCTTCTGTCCACCATAAATATCCTATGGTTGTTTAATCAAAAAAAAAATTATCAAAAATTTTTTGAAAAAATTATTCCAATAGACAAGCTGTCGCCATCTTTCGCCGATCAAAGCAAACACGAAAAAGTTTAAGATTCTAAATCACTAGATGTCAGTACGGGGATCAACCAAAAAACAAAAAATCAATTTTCCAAAAATTCATAATTTCATTCCCAAAATCAATAAGATATATAATAAAAAACACTGATAATAACGTTTGTTACACACAAACGCAATGTAAATTTAGCCGAATAAAAAAAAATTAGCATTTCCGCATATTTTTTTTTGCCTCCAATAAATGAATATTTGCTGAATTTTCATTTCACAAAGGCAACGTATTTTTTGTGATTTTATTACATTTTCTCTCTTTTTTTCCTTTCAAATTCAAATTCATTTTCAAATTCTAGATTTCAAATAATTCCATAACATTTTGAAACACATAAATGATTTACATGAATGAAACTATGAAGAGGAAAAACAAACAAACATACGATTATAATGGGGAAATCAAATAACATAAACTTTGTTTTTTCTGCTGAAAAGAAACTGAAAACTGAAATTTTTTTTTTGAACAAAAAAAACGATAATAATAATAATGTTTACATAACGAAAAACTGCTTAGTGTTTTGCTGTGTTGAATGTCTATGAATGGAATCACCATATAGCAATGTGATGAATAAAATCTAAAAAAGCCAAATGATACAAATGGGGGAAGAGAGAACGAAACGAAACGAAAATCCCCCAATATATATTAATAATAAAAACATTTTAAGTTTTTTGTTGTTGTTGTTCAAATTCAATTGATTTCACCATTATCATTGATGTGAAACAAACACAAAAAAAAACGATTTATTTGTATTTGTATTTTGTATTTATATACAAAATACAAAAAACAAACATAGAAAAAAAAATGTACCGAATAATAATAAAAAACAGTTAAATAAATTTCAATTTGATGAAATTTTTTTCTTTGGTACAAAATTCTTAATGAATATTTAATGAACAGAGAGAGAGAAAAAAAAACATGGAAATTTTTCTATTTTGATTGAAAAACTTTGTGGAATGAATTTATTCATTCATTCATTCAAACAAACAAACAAAATCGCAATTATCATTTCATATTGGAATTTCAAATTTTTCATTTTTATCCCTTTTTTTGCAATTGACATTGATCAGTTATGAAAAACGAAAAACGAAAAATAAAAATCCTTTTTTTTCATTAATCACACTCATCATCATCATCATTAAAGAAAGAAAAAAGAGGGTTAAACGAAATTGGATTCATTCATTCATTCATTTCATTTCTGGCCAATGTCCACTATACTTTTTGTAAAAAAAAAATATATAAAAAACTTTTTTTTTCATTTTAATATTCATCGTTATTATCATCATCATCATCATCAACAGCGTTATTCAACGAAAAGAAAATGAATATCTAAATATGCACTTTTTTAATAGCTTGGAATCAAGCAGAAATGATTGATGATTGGTTTTATGAAAACCTAGATTTATATGGAAAGCAAGCAAGAAAGAGAGAAGGCAACGGAATGAAACGAAAAAAAATTGTTTATATTGGTTGATCTTGTTGCAACAATGAAGTGAACAAAGTGAATGAAAATGTTTAATCGCAATAAAAAAAAGTGATGGCCATTATAAATGAATATGTGTGCAATGTCATTATTATCATTTTAATAATAATAATGAAAAAAAATCTATAAAGAAAATAGATTATTATCAATCTTTCTTTCTTTCTCTTTTTTTAATTTACAAATGTAAATTTCTTATTATTATTTTGGGTTTTCAGTTTGTTGTTAAACGAATAATAGTAAAAATAATTATCAAAATTGATTAACATCAATGTTGATAATTATAATCATAATCATTATCGTAGTCGTTGTTGTTGTTTATAAATGAAAATCATTATCATTGTGTTACAACTGATGATAAAATCAAGTAAATTCTTTCTATTTTAAATAGCAGAAAGAGAAGAGAAAAGAGAAATCTTGATTTGAATTGAATTAATTGATAATGATCACGATTTTTTTTAGTTGTTGTAATATTTTTATAACAAAACAGCAGAAGAAAGAAACATTTTTAAAAATACATTTTTTTTAAGAAGAAAAAAAAATTACAATCAAATATCATCAATGTGGAAACAAAAACAAACAATTTTTTTTTTGATATCAAATTAAGTAACTGAAATTTTTTTTCCACTTTAAATCATTCAAAACAATCATTTTTCAAACGCAAAAAAAAATCTCTTATTTTACCCAAAAATTCACTCAACCTATCTACTTATAATCAATTTCTTTTTCTCTCAAATAAACGAAGAATTTCAATCTTTGCTTGTTTTTTCAATCGTTCAAAAAAAGAAAAGAAAATACACACATTCTTTCTCAATTCACTCACACTCTATATAGATAGATAGTGAAGACGAAAAAAGAAAAGAAAAGAAAAAAATCTTTATTGAATCGTGCCAATTTCATTACATAAATACATACACACATTGAACATACATTGAACTGAACGGGATCGGTTGAATGATTATGATTATTATTATTTTTATATCATCATATCTCTTCACTATCTCTTTACTATACCAGATACATACATACATACATCTAACAATTCATTCATTCATTTATTATCATCATCATCATGATTATTATGTTCATACATCTCGATCATCATCATCATCATCATGATAATGATTATTATTTGGATTTTTTTTTTCATTATTATTATTATTATGATGATTAATAATAATAATAATAAT